CCGGCCAGGCTGCAGCATAGACTAGACATAGGTGTTAGTTATGTACGACGTCTGTGGGTTGCTGCTGCTGCGCATGCTACCGGTCGAGTGTATATCGAGTCCAGAAAGAGGCATTAATTTCTGGAAAAGTTGAAGGTACGTGTAGACCTATAATCTACCCGGGTGGCAAAAGGTATTATAGAATGCATCTACTTCCCAAACCTCGACAAGTTAGGGCCTACAATCCTGGACAAAATAGTTGGAACACCATGTGGGAAGCGCGGTGAAAAGATCCCCTTCCCCCCCATTTCATGGGTTTCGAGTCAACTCGGACCCAAACCAACTCGGACCCATACCAACTCGGACCCATGCCAACTCGGACCCACGACCAACTCGGACCCATGCCAACTCGGCCCCAGTACTAACCCGTACCCACGACCAACTTTGACCCACAACCAACTCGGACCCAATACTAACTCGGACCCACGACCAACTCGGACCCACCCTGAGTCAACTCGGGCCCAACCCCAGGAGCGTGATTAACTTGTCGAAAATGTTTATTTTTGTTCACTTTTACATTTTAGCATTTGGTAAATGACACTTTTGCACTGCATGCTGCCTAGATTTAACGTCCTCTCTACACGTTATGCATGGAAACAGTGGCACAGGCTTCCCAGAATTTTTTCGTTTTCGAGTTTGAACGGGCATGTTGGTTATAAACCGTACAGGACTAGATTTGATATCAGTGATGTCTTGGAACAAGTGATAAGTAACCGACGAGCGTCGTATTTTTATAGAGGCACATTTCCTTTGATGTCTTATTTGCCGCTTGTAATCTGGAATCTTAATCAGGTATTAGCTTCCAAGGTACCGGTGTGATTAACCACAAACACTGATTTTGTCACCTTCCATTCTTGAAACCCTATGATCGGGGAGTGGGAGCTTGGGACAACCAATGGGAGCAGCTTTTGGAGTGTGATTGACAGTACCAAATCATTGACGCCCTTTCTCCGAAGTTTTTTTGGTACTCCAGATCACCAGCAGAAATCGAATGAACTTTCACCAAACAGCCCCCAAAGTTTTTGTTGCAATAAAAAGCCACAGATAGGCCTTCTGATGTACATAAGATATGCTGCATACGTACAACAGATACTGCAGATAGACATCAATGTCACGAACATTGACCATTTATAGTGTCTAATGGTGTTATCCATTACGGGCGCGTATTTGGTGTAATGCAACCTTGAGACTGAGTGGGTCCGAGTTGACTCGAGGTGGGTCCGAAATGGCGCGGGTCCGAATTGACGTGGGTCCGAGTTGGTTGTGGGTCCGAGATGGTTGTGGGTCCGAGTTAGTATTGGGTCCGAGTTGGCGTGGGTCCGAGATGGTGGTGGGTCCGAGTTGGCATGGGTCCGAATTGGAATGGGTCCGAGTTGGTTTGGGTCCGAGTTGACCTGATCCCATTTCATGTTGCGGTCTTTTATGATGTTAGGATAATACACGAGAAACGCGCCCTTCGTGGGTGAAAAAGGCCCGAGGGCATTCTCACCCCGAACGGCGTGCTGCCGAGTGTATTAACCTACTTAACACCCTCTGAAAACTCGTCACTGTTTACACGAATGTCCTGTTTTTGGATAATTGGAAAAAACGCTGTAACTGATTGTGGACAATACAATCTTCAAGCGATGTCAAGTAAGCTGTGCTGGGATAGTTGCGTAAGCTACATTGTTTTTTTTGCTCTGTGGTGTTTTTGTGCTCCAGCTATTATCAGAGATATAAAATAGGATGATTCAAACGGCACCAAAGCCTATGCCAGTTTTGTTCGGAACGCCAAGGTGGAAACATGGCTACTGTAGTTCTGACATAGCCCCACTAGTGTGGCATGGACTCTCACTCCCGATCTATCCTTAGCCACACATCTGTGTGCGCAATTTCGTGTCACTGACCTCTTTTCAATAGGGGCCAGATTAGCGTACAGCGGTGCTGTGTGGTTCATCCTTGCGGTGGTGGAGCACTTTTGTCCCCGTTGGTAATCCGCTCGCTCTCAATGCTCCAAACCCTGGTATAGGGTTTCAAAACAAGGCTGGATTCTCACCACTTTTGAGAGTGAAAAATGCCGGTAATGCCCAGCAGCCTGGTCTTTTGTTCGAAGTGCGGTCTTTTGTTACAGGGCCCTGTTTCCTTTGTCTGAGTTCGGAGACCCTGGCCACCCATATAAACCATACGTCTCCGATCCCGGAGTCCCCGGCAGGAAGTGGTTAATGACAGTGTTGATAAAATCATGATTTTGCTTAACAATAAAAATCCGGTTTTTAAAATTTAAATGAGACTTTTTAAAATTTTAATCAATTTTATCTAGGTCACATGAACTATTTGTCTCGGTCTCTGACCTATTTCAGAGAGTTCTCTTTTCCGTCCAGACCTCACTACAGTCAGGCTAGGGGCTCTGAATGATAATGTCATTTCCATCTTTGAGTAATTAAGTCTTGTGGCTTTCTTGCCTCTTCTTTTGCACTGCCAACAAAAGCCACATCAACGGAAAGGACAAAGGATCATGCAGTTGACCAGCAGATGATCCACATGTCAGGGTCCGACAATGTAATGGCAGATGCACTCTCTGCCTTACGCACACCCATGTCAAGTTGGCCTTTCTCCTGACAATGGTTACCTCCAGAGAAGGCAGTGAATCACAGGCTCTCCCCATTGCTGAAGGCTGTCTACGTTGGCAGCTGCATGGTGTTAACATTCCTTCGATTGGCTTCCTGACAAAGGATCGGACTCCTTCTCCTGATTGTTTGATATCTTTGCACTCGCCATCTCCTTACATCCTGGAGACAATGCGGATAAACTTTGGTCCACTCTTCGTGTCCTGAAGTGGTACCTGACTAAAACAGTAGCATGAAAGGGACAATAAACCTGTCGCTTATCACTATCACAAGACCATACCGTCCAGCAGTGTCAGTCACTCTTGCCTGCTGGACGGGCTTTGCCATTAGATTCACTAATCCAGTCTGGCCGTCAAACTCTGATGAACAGTCAACACTACATCAGGGTTCATGACGTAAGAGCAGCATCTGCATCTCGAGATGTTTCCATTGCAGACATCTGCAAAACTGCATGTTGGAAGTCTCCTTCTACCTCCTGCAACTTGAGGGATATCCTGCAGAGTGACATCGCAAATGGCCAGACAATCCTACTGTCTGCAGCGCAGAGCTCAAAGGGACCTTCTGTCAAATGGACGACAAGTCATCATGAAGTTCTTTTACCATCTTAAATTTTTACATTCTTCCTTGTTTATATGTGAAGGTGTATTCTTGGCGTTATACATGTGTCGTTGCCAACCTCTCTCCCAGACCTGTGCTTCTCTGCATATGTAATGACTGCTTTGGCAGGTAGAGCACCGTAGGCTCCTTCCCAACATTAAGTGCGGGTTGGGTCTACTAGAGAATACCTTTCCAAACAGTCCTCTCCCGCCTGTCCTCCCCACTCTGGCTCCGACCTGTTGAGTCGCTTTCAAAAAGAATGATCATGGCAGCGAGGCTGCGTTGCATTGTGGGAGGTCAAGGTGCACCACGGGTGATCAAATCTTTTCAATGAATAAATAATAGGCACCTGCGAAATTTGCATATGTAGTGACTGTTTGGGTAGGTATTCTCCAGTAGACCCGACCCACACTTAATTTTGGGGAAGATTTTTATATTTTAAAAAGTCATGATTTTTTATTTAACAAAAAATCACGAATTTTATCAACGCTGTCATTATTGTGTAATTTGTAATCTGAATCTGTCGACTTGTTCATCTTTGGGTATAATTTTATTCAACTTGAGCTTGTCAAAAGTACTGCAACTTGCATTGCAGACAATGAAATGCATCGCACTAAGAGCAATCAACAGCGCCCTCTTGGGGAAGAAACGAAAATTCATTCACATGATTTTCTGAAAATGCGACGGTGCAATAATGCAACGACGCGACTATGCGACATTGGCAGTGTAAACGGCTAGAAACCACGAATAAACAATGCGATGATGTGACAATGCGACGGCACTATGTGATGATGCGCAGTTGACAGTGGAAGTGGCTACAGACCCAAGGAAGAATGCCCCACATGTGCTGCATAATTGACAGAAATGGAATTCCATATTTTGGTGAAGTTGATGGCTACATTTTATCTCTTTTTGTCAAATAAGAATACCATTTGCAAGTGATTAAGGTACCTTTTAAGTGGCAGTATTACAAACAAATGCAGTGTCTGATGCTGGGCGATTTTCAGTATCTTCGGTTTTCAAAAATTTCAAAAATTCATGTTTTTGTCCTGAATGCGTAAACCCCATCAAGTGACTTTCTGGTGACTACTCTAATCTGACAGACAACATCTATTGACGCCCAAGTATTTCAGCCAGGCCTGACGCCTTGTAAAAAGAGCCCAGATTATGTGGTGTTATGTTATTTTCTTTTTATCTCAAAACTGGCACAGTGCGCTGTAGGTGTCTTTTCAATAGGGGCAAGATTAGCATGCAGCGTTATTGTATCGCTCATCAGTGGTGTGCTGGAGCACTTTTGTCCCCAGTAATCTGCTTTTGCTGAATGCCACAAACTGTGGTGTAGTCTTTCAAAACAATGATAGATTCGTCTGCTATTGACAACTGAAAAATTCCCAGCATCCCGGTCTTTTGTTCCAAGTACGGCCTTTTGTTACAAGGCCCAGCTCTTTTGTCCAATTTTGGGCACCCCGGCTATGCGTACAAACCCAAGGTACCCAGTACCGGGCACCCCGGCATGAAGTGGTTAAAATTTGGCTGGTAAAATACCCTAACAGACAAGTGCATCCGTAGCTGGCATGATGGCAACTTTATAAGAATTATTTATTTTTTATTCCTTTCTTTCATACTTGGAAAGCCAAGGTGAATTTAAATACTCTGATATATTTTTTCTCATGTTTTGTATTTTATGTATGTATATGTCTTCTGTTTTATTGTTCTCACTTCAAGATGTTGCTGTGGTTTCTTATTTCTTTCCATTTAGCATGGTAATGACATTGATCTGAAGCCATCAGGAAGCAAACGTATGCGGAAACATTCTTTTGTGGTGCATGCTGGTACGGATACCAAAGGGGATGTGCTTTTCATGGAGGTAAAATACAAAAATATTTAATAGCAGCTACGTGTACTCGTGACTTGGAGTCTTGGGTCTAAATACGGAGCCAAAGAAATTCTGATTGTAAAAACTAGGCAGACACTTGAAGCACAACTTTAATGTAGTCCTAGAAGACAGACAGGCACATATGGTTATGAAACACTACTGATTGATGGTATTCTGTTAATCTGCTAAATACAGGGATACTAGACTTCTGGCAATTACAGGAATTTCAGCTTTTTCATAATTTGGGAAAAACTTCCTGGCATTTGGCATTTGTGAGCGGATGTGATAGTGTTTTTAACACATGGGAACTAACCACATCTAAAAAAGTTTTCAAAGATACAGTGTTTTCCTATCTTCATATGCCACACTACACATGTACAGCTAGTGGTATAAATTAACCCTAACAGTCCTCAATCCTTCACCTGTTGGAGGACTGAGGACTGTTAGGGTTAATGTCAGAAATGGGGGGGGGTGGCAAAAAGTGAGGAGGGAGATGACTCTCCCGGCCATGAAAATTTGAAAAGCGGGTTGGGGGATTACACCGTATGACTCTTTGTAGATGTCAATGTTCATGACATTGATAAACGTCTGTAATGTGTATTACATTCATGCAGAATCTTACATCAGAATTTATAGCTTTTTTATTATTTTTCCTTTTTGAGTGATATTGAATTCATTATCAAGAAGTCCAAAAATTCTTCACAATCCGCTTTAGTTTGTTTTTTTTTTATTTGGAAATTAAAACACTGAGAATTATCTGTTATAAGAGATACTCAAGGTATTCTCAACCTACTTTGTCTACAAAAAAAGTTGTAAAATCTAGTATTAGATTATAGGCCAATATTAATGTACATGTATACCTTTGTGGGATGGTCAGGATAGGTTTTTACAGTGTTGTCTGATCTGTGTATGTATATCTGTATTCCAACGTGTTTTCAGTTACACCCTGACTGTACCATATTTTTTTACAAGTCATGAAAACATTGCCATGAAAGAATGTTCAAAAATCTATATTTGAAAAGAAACTATTTAGAACTGGGGATACTGACTAATAATGAAGTAAATTTCATCTTACATATACATCGTTTTGGAGACCAATGAACAAAGTTTGAAATATGCAGTATCAGTGTGTGTAGAGACCAAGATTTGGACCTTCCACTAAACAGGGTAGGGTCATACAGAAAATAATGCTTCACTAGAATCACTGGAAACATAGGCATTTTTCTCTGAAAATAATACTTCAAAGGGGGAAAATAAATGCAAATACACAGCAAATATTGTAACTTAGCTCAAAGAAATCTTTATCATGGGTCCACTGCGCTCAACGTACCCAAACAGTCGCTACATATGCAAATTTCCCATGTGACAATTCTTATTGCTGTAAGACTTGATCATCCATAGTGCACCTTGACCTCTCACAATGCATTGCGGTCATGCTGCCATGTTTGTCCTTTTTTCAGCACCGGAATGTAACAAACATATCTTTCTAGGCATCTTTGACTTCTTGAAACTCTGTTTTGGCTAAATGGTTCTATGTCGACCTGATCATCCAATTGGTAAATAAATAGTCTTCGTTGAGTTTGAATGAACCCCTGTCTTACAAGCAGTCTATTATAGAACCAAATCTATCTATGTCTACTCGGCTCGTGACTTTTTTCTCAACATGAGACTGGTCGGTCCTGTCAGCACCTGTCAATGTTGCGGTGGAAGACAAAATTACCGCAGTTGGTGGAATTTGCACTGTAAATTGACTTCCCAAGACAAGAAATCTTATGTGCAGAATTCCTCAGGAACCCTGGGCTCGCGAGCTTGACCCTTCACAATCTTGGATGAAGAATTTAAGGAGCTTCGTTTGAATACTTTGTTCGAATTCCTGACCTCATAACATCAACTCTGTAAGACCCGTTGACTCTTGCCCATACTTTTTGTGCCGAAGCTGGACTAAAAGTTCCTACTACATAATACACTTTCCTTCTGGTTCATTCCAATAAGGTGAAGGACAGTTTTCAGCTAACATCCTTCCTCTCATTGGGACCAAACCAGGGGTTTCCCATCATCAATCTAACACCATCACTCAGATTCGTTCACCCAGGAATTGCCGTGTAAACTGATTAACTGGCCTCCTTGGCACTTATCTCCCTGCTCTCACTGAGCAGAACCTTCACTGTATGTATATAGGAAAGACATACACATGTAGGTATTACAGCTCCACCCAGAACCTTTCTCTTAGGCTGTGAAGACTGCAGTCATTCATCTTTGACAGCTGGCCGTCATGTTTCTGTCCAGGACCTAGATGACTAGCTGATTGTCAGCCAGATTTAGGATGAGAACATGACGTCAACATATTTTCAGACAATCTCGCTATCCAACTGTATCTGTATATGTACATGTATATGTGGTTGCTCCAGCAAAACAGAAGATTTTGCTTCCCACTGGATTTTGGGACATGTGTCGGAGCTGGAGGATAATCTTTTGATTCCCCTCCCTTAAAATAAAATCAGATGTGGTATTCTTAAACTGATTCAAGTTGGTTAGGTTAACAGTGGATTCCGGTAGACTATTCCAGGTGGTATGGTGAATGGCTAGAAGCTGGTACTGTAGAATTTTGATTTTGCATTTGGTCGGTGGTAGGAGAACCGGTGAGATCTATGATGAGTTCTGGATTGGGTTTGAGGTCGTGATGGACTTCACCTAGGCCATGGGTAATCTTATATAGCATGGCAAGTCTTGCAATGGTTCGCCTTTTCTCCAGCAGAGGCCAGCCAAGATCTTTCATCATGGCTGTGACATTGACGGTCCTTGTATAGTTGTTGCAACACATCGTGGCAGCATATCTCTGGATACCCTCAAGCTTCTTACATTCCTCTTCAGTGAAGGTAGCCCAACCACAAAACCATATTCTAATTTGGGACAAACCAGCGATTGGTAGAGAAGTGACTTAACCGTGCTGCTACAGGACTTAAAGTTCTGCCTAATGACACCAGTGGTTTGCTTGGCATTGGCGACAACCTTATTGATATGAGATGACCAGCTGCAGTCGTTGCTTAAAATGAGACTAAGGTAGGTGTGACTAGATGTGCTTTGAAGCAGTTTCCCATTGATTTTGTATGTGTGAATTTGAGGATTTCTCTTGGTGGTCATGTGCATAACGAAGCATTGGACAGAATTGAATCTCAGTTCCCATTCTTTTTCCCATCTGCAAAGGGCATGTAAATCATTTGGAAATGAAGCAGCATCTGAAGGAGAGTTGATTTCTCTTTACAGTAATCCATCATCAACAAACAGTCTGTTGAAGAAATATGTGTTGGGATGTCATTTATATAGAGGAGAAACAGCAGGGGGCCCAGGCTGTGCCCTAGGGCATGCCAGGTAAAACTTCTGCTGTTGTAGATCTTTCACCCTCCAAGACAACTTGCTGAGAGCATGTTGTAAGAAAAGTTGAAATCCAATTGTACACATTGCCGGTGATCCCATAGTGCGAACGTTTGATGAGGAGTCGTTGGTGTGGAACGCGATTAAACACCTTAGAAAAATCTAAGAATATTGCATCCACCTGTTTTCCTTTTTCAGTCGACTTGGTGATATTGTCGACGATGATGACAAGTTGTGTATCACACCCCCTATTTTACCTGAACCCATGTTGGCAGTCTGTTAGGATCTGGTGACATTCAGTATGGTACATGATATGGCAGTGAATGACATGTTCAAGGAATTTGCACACAACAGAGGTAAGAGATATGGGGCGATAATTGATGGGATTACTTTTATTACCCTTTTTGAAGACAGGAGAAACATTGGCAGTGGTCCAGTCACCTGGAAGTTCGCTGGATGACAAGGATTGATTGAATAAAACTGCTGCTAATGTTGCCAGCTCCTTGCTACATTCCTTAAGGATTTTGTTTGGAATGCTGTCCAGCCCAGAGGCTTTAGAAGGATTTAAATCATGCAAAAGTTTCTCTATTCCCTCGGCAACAACCTCGAGTGGTTCAATGTCAGGACCAATCTGCTGTAGGTCTGGAAGATTAGCAGTATTTTCTTGGGTGAAAACTGATTTGAAGATACTGTTGATATTTGCTTTATCAACTTTGTCAGAAATTGTGTCAGAGCCATTCTTCAGCATTTGGACACCTACATTGTCACTGCTTTTGGATTTGTTGTATTTCCTGAATTTGTTTGGATTCTCTTGGAGATCTTCCTCAAGCATACTGGAAAAATACTTCTGGTGCACACTTGAGATTCCTTTTGAACACTCTACGGGCGCTTCTAAAAAGTATTGAATCTTCAACAGAGTTGGTTTTCTTTTGTTTGTTGTACAATAGATTGAGCTTTTTACTTGGCGACGGAGTGCAGGAGAAAACCATAGCAAGTTGTATTGTTTTGAAAAAAACTTTGATCGGATGTACTTGTAAGTGCATTCAGGGAGTCTCTCAAGTGAAACCAGTTATCATTCACTGATCTACACGTCATTTCTTTGAGAAATCTTTTTATCAAAAGTTTTCAAACCTTTACATTGATCCTCAAACTTCCATTTCTTGTATTAAAAGAAAAACATACGCATAACTGGTTTAGTGGTTGTACAACCTGTATTAATGAGTATCTTCACCATACCATAATCACTGACACCAGGTGAAACACTGACAGACTCTTGAACATACTCTACTGGACATAGAACAAGGCTCATTTTCAATTCTCCATGAATGCTTCAATATCGTTTTTTGCATATATCTCTTGAATTACGGATGGTTGCCAGGGACAACTTCATCTGAGCTGGTCTTCCGGCAATAACTCCTTGCTTGATAAAGAGGAAGTCAAACCATTTCTATCTAGGCTATGTGAAGTCTTTCTTCATGGTCTCCAGTTTATTTCATCTCTCTCACTTATCAGAGGACCTTCCTTTTGCAATTAAAATGGATTTCTGCCTGCTTTCCAGCCCCCACTGTCATTGTACTAGGGGCCCCCTGGACACACACACACACATAAGTTGCCTGCAACTGGGGACCCCTATTGTTCTTCTTTTGTTTGTACTTTAATTTTTTGGAAGACCACCCGTATGTTTTGTACACAGTTGTCAATCAGGGACTCTCTGTGAATCGGGGACCTTAATGTCCTCTATTGTTCAGGGTCCCCAATTGAATGCAGAAACAAACTCAGCTACATACACAAAAATCACCTCTATCTTCAAGTAATTCATGAAGTTTTCTTTTCCTATCTACATATACCAATAGAACTGTTGTTCAGGAGTGGGTGTGATAAGCTTCCCTTGTGATGCCATAAACTACCTTTCAGCCAACCCTATATGGGAAAGGCCTTCACAAACTAACCGGTGCTGGAAGATGCAGACCCGAAGGGAACGTCAATGCTGCCTACTTTCTCTTGGGTCTGTTGCCAATGACTACTTTACTTCTCAAGTAGCCTCAATGCCCCTTACTTACAGGCACTACCTACCGTAGTAAGGCTCTATCAGACATCTGGCCAGTCAGATGAATACCTGTGTTTGCGCGTTCGCTCGGCCCAACTCATTATTGAAATCCAATCTTCGTCGGTAATTATTACATGTGCAATGGGGTTCCTTCTACAGTAACTCAATCCCTGTCAGATTCAACCCAGGCTTCGTTGGTGGATCTGAAATTGTCTTGCTTCACATTCCAGTCCACCCAAAGGAATACAAGTTCCTCTACCTTATCAACGTCAGAGGAACTCTGGAGCTCCAACCCTGTGACTGTCAGTATTCTAGGAGTCCTCACCTTGACAATTTTTTTTACACCTACTCTCACCAGCCAGCCGTTCCCACAATTGAACACTTTGGCAACTGGCCCTTTATAGGCAGATGTACAGTTGAGACTGGATCCTACTAAGGTGTCACATATAAGCTTACCAGCCATCCTAGAGTCTGAAACAATCTTGTGATTCCTGTCTTTATACATTCTCTGATTTAACTAAGTTCGGCTCACATCCTCTGCCTGGGCCTTTTTCACACAAGCTCGTCTTTGGCCCGAAGGTGAGCCTGGTAGACTTGGATCCTCTTTGTCATCTTTATAAGGTCTCGCCTTCTGACGCTGTCCTATCCCAAATGTGAACACGAGGACCCATACTTCGTGAGCTACCTCCAGCTCTACACCTCATCCAATGGTCTCCTCCTTTCTGCGTTAGACCCTCATCATTCCACACAGTCACACACACTGTCCATGTGTCCTTGCCTACCCTCCTCTGGGGAATGGTGCTCCTCTGTATAGCGACTGTTTGAGTAGGTTCAGTGTAATGGACTCCTCCCCCACAGCAGTGTTGGAAGAGTCTGCTAACGAATACCTACCCAAACAGTCACAGCCCTCCTGTTCTCCCCACTCTGGCTTGGACTTTGCACTCTGAAAAAAGACGAACATGGTGGCAGCACTGCTATGCATCATGGACCTAGAGGGTGCACTATGGTGGATCAAGTTTTTAGCAAATAGAATCAGCCGTGAAGAAAATGTGCGTATTTAGTGACTGTTTGGGTAGTTATTCGTCAGCAGACTCTTCCCACACTGCTGTGGGGGAGGACTTTGCTACATTTTTTGATGGACAGACTGTGGCTCCCATCGTCGCTCCTCTAAGCACTGTACTGGACTTCTTCCAAAAGCTTTTTCACTCCGGGTCATTGGCCTCCCTCGTTGGCAACAATAAGTTAGCCTTGGTCACCATACACTCCTGCCTCAAGGATGACTATCTCTGACAACATGGCCTTTCACCATTTCTTGCATGACATGTTTGTCGAACGGTCCCATGTCAAACAGTTGGTCATGCCATGAGACCTTGATGAGGTCTTCCACATACGTACTACTCCCCCTTTTGAGCCCTTAAGTAACACCCCCGTATACATGTACACTCCAGCATTGAGCTAGCCGTGACTACTTCTAGATTAGGAAGTGAACTTCAAGCCCTTTCAGTTGTTGAAGGTCATCTACACTGGGAGCTGTATGGTATCTGTCTCATCCCCACTACTGGCTTTCTCACAAAGAGTTGGACTCAATCTTTTGAGCTGCCAGATATCTTTGTACCCTTGATTTGCCCCACAGACTGGAAACAGCATGGACAAACTTTTGTGCCCAGTCAAGGTGCCAAAGTGATGTTTGCAAAAGACTGGGACCTGAGAGGAACAATCTGCCTGAGCCGAAGTGCATCCTCACTGGCGGAAGAAAGACCAGCTGGCACAAAGTTTTTCCAACCAGATTCTGGCATGCATTCGGCGTGCCCGCGAAGACCATCATTGCAGAGTTGTGCGTTCTCAGCATGCTTCGCGTCAAATGCGCAAAACTTGCATGCCTACTCTGTTTAATAGTTTTTGCCAAAGGACTGTCCATTTCATTTACAAAACATGTCCTCTTTTGTTCCCGCTTGGAGTGGATATTATCACTATCACTAGACCACATCGCCCAGCGGCAAGTGACGTCATCACCCACTAGACAGTTTGGCCATCAGATCGGCCAAACCAGATGGGCCATCATGCCATGATGAACAGAACAAGTACTACATCAGGACCATGATGTGAGAGCATTATTCTATGTGCTGATCTTATTTTCATAGATTTTCCATCACAGACGTTTACAAGGCTGTGTATTAGAAATCTCCCTCTACCTTTACCTCCTGCTACCTGACGGATGTCAAGGCTATGTATTGAAAAATCCTGCTACCTTCACCTCCTACTTCCTGATGGATGTCTTGTAGCAAGACTCCACACATGACAAGACAACCCTACTGTTCAGCGGTGCTGAAGACTCAAAGAGACCTGCAGGCCAGACAGTTCCCACCCAATTCATCTTGGGATCTGATCATAGTAGATTGGGTTCTGACCTGCTCTTGTATTAAGTAGGTTATCTTTTACATTTATGACTCTTTTTTCATCTTGTTGTGTGAGTGGTAGCCACCCCTTCACCTAAAATTGGTGCCACTCTGCATATGTAGTGACTGTTTGGGTAGGTTGAGCGCAGTGGACTCCTCCACCATAGACGTGTGGGACGAGTCTACTAGTGAATTCCTACCCAAACAGTCATCACCCACCGTCCTCCCCACTCCGGCTCCAACCTAGCCACTTTCGAAAAGGACGAACATGAAAGCGTGACAGCAATGCATTGTGGGAGGTCGGAGATACACTATGGATGATCACTTCTTTCAGCGAATAAGAATAGGTGCATGGGAAATTCGCATATATAGTGACTGTTGGGGTAGGTGTTCACTAGTAGACTCGTCCCACACGTCTATGGGAGAGGATTTTGGCTGTTTCGATCCATTTTGAGCAATGATTGTGTACTCATGTTGTCTTTTTGGGCATTTAAGCCTTCCCAAATTGTCATTGTGGGGAGGTCTTAAGCTCTTTACAGGCTTCTTGCCCTTTTATGTCTTGCATTTAAGGCCAGTTTTTCGTGACAGAAACAAGCCTGATGTGGCAGCGCTCAGCACTGCTCGCCTCACATGATTTCAACCGTTTCACCCAGGTGTGCAAAATGCCATTACCTGAGCATGCTTGACACATGAGCTTTACTTACATTTTACTTTCTAATGAGAGCAAATTAACTGATGCTACATTTTTAAAAAATCCAAAATTCCTGTGTTATTCATTTTCTCATTTATTTTTTTGATCAGTGAGATGGTTGTATTGGCTAAAAAGCCTGAGGGGATTACCAAATACCATGAGGCCAGCTGCCTTGTGTTTGAATGAGCAAGGGAATCCTTGGCAGCCGGATTATATCATATCACCAGCAAGCCAGTTGTGGCCACACAGGCAAACCAACACAAATAATCGACACTGTTGCAAGAAAATCTTGGTGTTAATTATGAGCAGTCACTTTTAGCCAGGTTTGCAGGCACACATATTTTCCCTGTATTGTACATCTACTTTTCCCATTCTAAATATTCCTTGGCCCTGGACTGAAAACACACTGACGTCCCTGTAAGTAAAGTTTCAGTCAGCAATTTCTGTTTGTTTTTAATCTATTTATGTTATCACTATTTGTTGTAGGTATGCGATGACTGTGTTATCATACGAAGTGGTAGTGGAGCTGTTTGTGATCGTTGTTGGTATGAGAGACTTATCAACATGACTTACTGCCCTAAAACAAAAGTCTTGTGTCTCTGGAGAAGACTGACCAATACCACTCGTTTGGACAAGTATTACACTAAAAAGGTATCTATACAGAATACAATGTGAATAGTTTCTTTTTAATCTTACAATCTTTGTAATCTCGTAGCCCAAAAAACTAAAATTTTTTTTTTCTTGTATGTACCTTAGATAAAATGTGTCTGGTCATTTGTAGCCTGTAAAATTCTAGGACCATAATTTGCCCTTCCTACCAATTTTGGAAGTAGCTAGGCGATAAGGCTAGTGCTGAATAGCGAAACAATAAGTGATCACAGGATGAATCCAAATTAAAATCATATCTTTCCTTTTTAAGTCCACAACTTCAAAGGTTTTTAGAGAGTTTGATTACTGCATTGGCATATTAACTTAACAAGGAACCAGTACAAGTGAGCCAGAAGTCATTTTGAAGAAATTCCATGCATAGAAAAACATTGTCTTTAAATCCCTTTGCCAATGGGTAGTTGAAAGTTGTGCAGTAGTTTCAAAACAGGTTTACAAATACAAAAACTGTTCTTTCTGATGCTACTCCAATTTTTAGTTTGGTAGCATAAAATTGTAAAAGCCATTCCTTTGACTCATCTTATGCATCATTGCCATTTTCCAGTGTCGTGAGCTTTACTTCTGCATTAAAGAAAGCATGGAAAAAGCTGCCACTCGTCAAAAGAATGGTATTTCAGGAGGTAAGTCACACAAAAAGAAGTTGACTTGAAGGCCTTTGAAAGAATCTTGTACCGTGTTTAAGCACATAGGAATCTTTTACATTTTAAATTCTATACAGTGTTCATTTTTCATCATACCAAACTGAGTGATACATCAAAACAAGAGCTCAATTTCCCAATGTAATACAGATTTGAGGCTCATCTTTGCAGAGTAGCAGCAGATTTCAAGAAATATTATGCAATGGCGTAACTCTACTTTATGCCACATTTGATTGTATATGTTATACAACAAAAGACCCATTTCATGAAATTTGTGCATTGTGTAGTCTGCGACCTACACAACAAATTACAGCAGTCTTTCTACGTAGCGTTCGTTGTGCCAAATGAAGCAAAAATGAAAGTTTTGACAAGCTTGTTGTGTTTGGTTAAGCCTCATCATTACTGAACTCACCAAGACTTGTAAGAGAAACGTGCAGCTTTGTTGTAGAAGGTAATGAAATACCTGTTTGGCTGTAAGAGAACTTCAAGATTTTTTGTCCGGCTTAGATGAAGAAAAGAAAAAATTTTATCCAAATGGCAGATAGACGTAATTCAATGATTGTTTGATGTCTGTTGTTATATTGGAAAGGAACAGCCCTCGTAAAAGCCATTTTTGTCCTTGTCCAAGAAATTTGATGCTGTTGTACGTAGTGAAGATACGCAACTCTTTGTGAATAACTTTTTGTGCATAAATTTGTGGTGCAGGGTTTATGCATAGTTAAAAGTTATGTCACGTATGGAGAACAAAAAGTGGCCATCTGCTTTTCTGCTATCAGAATAGTAGAAAAGCAGATTTTATGTCTTTGTTACATGCTATTTTTTACTTTTCAGCCTTTCCGCTACTACAAAAGCAGTTTTACTTGTCCTCTTTTTGTTGGCGGCCGAAAAGTGGCCATCTGCTTTTTACCAGTCACATAAGCAGGAAAGTGGATTGAACGTTTTGACGACAACTGTAAATTCAACTTTGCTGCTTTTGTGATAACGGATAGCAGATTTTGTGACGCCGAGAAAACACAATCTCAAAGGAAATATACCAGAGCAGTTTTACAGCTATCATCCAAAAGACACACAAGCTTGCTTTGGCCATAGAACACATGCGAATCTTTCATTACAAAAGACAAGGTGGACTGTAATTATTGGTTTATACATCTTCAATCCCCTAGAAAGGAAATATAACCTGAGGTTGACGTCCCCGTTCACAGCACTTGGAAGGCAGAAAAGCAAATGGCCACTTTTCGGCCGCCTTTGTAAAATCTGCTTCTCCGGTAATAAAAAACAGAAAAGTAGAATTCACGGTTGTTGTCAAAACGTCCGATCCTCATTTCTGCCTGTTCAAAAGGAGAAAAGCAGATGGCCACTTTTCAGCCGCCAGCGAAAGAAGAAAAAGTAAAATCTGCTTTTCTTGAAGCAGGAAAGCAGAAAAATAGAAAAATGCATAACCAAACAATGTTTGTTCTGCTTTTTGGGGTGGCAGAAAAGTTGGAAATTGCATGTTACAAAAACACAAATTCTGCTTTTCTACTATTCTGAAAGCAGAAAAGCAGATGGCCACATTTCATCCTCCATATACCACACCTTGCAGACAGCGAAAAAGTTAGTCTTAAAAAGAAAGATCAATGACATCCTTTATAATTACGTCCTGTACTTTTTTTCATGTGTAGAGCACTACTTAACCATTATTGACTGCTGTGATGTGGGATATGACATTTTGAACACCTGAGGGACACATAGCACCCTGTGGTAAAGCCGAGGGCACCATGCATGTCTGATGATGTTAAAAATGTCATATCCTATGTCACAGCAGTCAAGAATTGTCTTATTTACACATCTGTCTTGATTATTGTAAGCCCGGCGGCAGTGTCCCTTGAGGAAGGAGCTGTATAGTCCCCTTCAGGGTGGAGGACGTGTGTCCTCCAGTCAGAGATCTCCCACAAATAAATGAGGGACGAAACAGACCTCTTGATCTTGATTTATTTATTGCTGATTATGTCCCCTTTAAAATATCCCTGAAAAAGAATTCATGACATTATCATTAAATAAATACAGAGAATTTACAAAGTTTAAAATCATATTTGAATTTAATGTGTGATGGAGTACATTAGCATGTACATTAGCATTTGCATAACTAGTATTTCAACTCGCCCGACGCTCATGGGGTTAAAATCAGCAGTACATGATTATGACTCTCTATACAAGCATTGAGGAGGGACACAGAAGGAGTTTGAATTGCCTGGGCTATAACATCTGGTCAATTACTGCTTTCTTTCATGCCTGAAATGTCACTAGCCAGAGCACAGCAAGCACTTGCTTTGCTCCATCTGTTTTACAACCCCAAACCCCTTTGTACCCTTGATCGCTGTGGTCATTTTTTGCTGTTAAGTACTTGATGCCTTTTGAAAATGCAGTGTCTCCTGTCGGGCAATTTTTCAATATCTTCGGTTTTCAAAAATCTTCAAAAATTCATGTCTTTTTTCCTTAACGCCTAAATGCCTAAATTGTGTTGGGTTGTGTAATTCCTCTTTTGTTCTTGAATTGGCTCAGTGCGTCTCTATTCTGCAGTGTAGCTATGCAGAGTGATTTACGGTCAAAACCCCAGCGTGCAGTTTGCAGTGAGTGCATGGGAAGCTTTGTGCAACATGTGCCTGCATACAGAGGTCATTGCAGAACTGTGGAATGCGTGCGGGCTGTGAAGGACAAATTAGTCATGCTATAAAAAATGGGGTCTAAAGGTTTGCTTTATGTGGCACTGTTACATCTAAACTTTGCTATTTTTTATGCTATTGGGGCATTTTTTGGCCAGAACTTTTGCCATATATAAAAATTTATATTGTCCCTAAACCACCTTCAAATTTTGTCCCCCAACTAGTGCAATTTCCCTCCCACATGGATATTTCCCAACCGAAAACTTTATTTCCCCGAAATTTCAAGTAAAACTTTAGAAACCAATAAAAAACAAGTACACAAAGAAATACACAGAGACAAAAATTTGCAGAGAATTTTTTTCTGTTGCTATTTTTCTCTTCTTGTCATTTCTCTTCATCTCATTTCTCTTTTTCTCATTGAAATTTTTTGACTTGTAAAACAAGTAAAATAAATTTCCACTCCTTGCATTCTTTTTGAGATCAAATCAAAGCCAAAATTCATAAAAAAAGTGCAAGAATATGAAATGGTAACACATCTCCTTAAACGATTAGCAGTACAAGGAGTTTTTTTACTCGCAAATTAAAGAAGTATTCTTTTACACTAGATAAAATAGTGCAACAAGTCAGGAAACACAAAAAACAAATGTCCATAAAAATAGAAATAAATGTTCAAACCGTCCCTTAGACGATGGTGTGGTATTCCCAGAAGCGTGGGTCTTAGGTTTAGGTTTATTTATTTCCCATACTGTACACAATTTAAATTATATAAGGTAATGAAAATAGATTAAATAGTATGGAGGGAGGTCAGACAAAAGCCAAAGCTTGTCCGGGGTCTGCCCCTGCAAAGATAGTACATGTAAATATACAATTCTCGAGAGAAACAACAATCAAAGTAAATAATACAGAATAATGTGTGAAGGTCTTCATTAGTTCAAGGTAGTAAATAGCTAACTTGTATACAAAAACTACATAAAATCCTAATTACAGGTTTAAAAATATGTCAATACAACTTTGGCATTGTTTACAAGAAATCATACTCTCAATCGTCATTGGACAAAGAGATCTGATTTGGTTCCAGAGAAGGGGTCCCTGGCGAATAAATGTTCTGACTTTATCAAGATGAAGCTTATTTGAAGACTTGGTGTTATAATTGTGAATATCAGTGTTCCTTGCAAAAAGAGATTTAATATTCAAAGGCAGTATTCCTTTTTCAAACTTAAACATTAAATCACACAAGTGATATTTGTAAAGGTCGTAAATAGATAAGGTATTAAATTTGACAAATTACTGGGCGGAGTGATCTTGAACGCAAGAACCATTTATAAGCCTTAACAATTTCTTCTGAATCACAAACAAATTCTCAAGGTAAGTTTTATGAGTATTTCCCCAGGCCAGTATACCATATTGAAGATGAGACAGAGATAAGGTGTTATAAATAGAAAGCAAAATATGAGAGGGGACAAAATGGTTAACCTTCCAAGAACACCAAGATTGCAAGAGAGAAGTGTAAGAATTTTCTGGCAGTGATGTTTCCATGTTAATTGATTATCAATAATGACACCCAAAAACTTACAGGAATCAACATTTGCAATATGATTACCACTGAAATGAATCTTTATGTTTTTGTCCACAGTTCGACTTGTAAAAACCATCGAATGAGTTTTCTTGATGTTCAAGAATAATTTATTGCATATCATCCACTCAAATACATTCATCAGTTCACTATTCATCAGATCAACAATATCGTTTAAGTTTTTCCAGCTACAGAATATATTTGTGTCATCCACAAATAAGATGAATGTTAGATGTTGGGTAGAATTGCATATATCATTAATATAAATAAGAAATAGGATACGGCCAAGAATTGAGCCTTGTGGTACGCCACAGGTAATTGATCTGTAACTGGACTTGTTACTGTGCCAGACAACAAATTGTTTTCTATTTTTTAAATAATCTTTAAACCATTTCAAGGTACACCATATGTACATAACTTAGAGATCAGAATATCATGGTCTATTGTATCAAAGGCCTTCAAAAGATCTAAACAAACACCAATTGTATGTTCCAGTTTGTCTAGGCTAGATGTTACTGTATCAACTAAATCAATCAGGTCAAGTTGAGTTGAATGTTTGGCCCTGAATCCATATTGATAGTGTGCAAGTATATTAAATCTAGCCATAAACTGTTCAAGACAGCTAGCAACTAATCGTTCCAACAATTTTGAGAAGCAAGTCAAAACAGATATAGGGCGATAATTATTGACCTGGGAACGACCTCCATTTTTGAAGACTGGAATTACTTTAGCAATTTTAAGTTGGTCAGGAACCTCACCAGATATTAAAGAAAGATTGAAAATATCAGTTAAGGGTTGAACAATAAAAGGAGCAATATTTTTAATAAGAATATAATCAATTTCATCATAACCCGTGCTTTTCTTATTAGGAAGGTTTCTAATACAATCAAAGAGTTCTTCCTGTGTAATTGGGCTCAAAAATAGGGAGTCGGGAAGCGACCTTTTAAACATTTCAAAGAGTCAGAAGTGCTTGGAGAAATTTTTGTGGCAAAATCTTTACTGATATTTGGAAAGTATTGATTAAAGTGTTCGGCAATCAATTTAGAGTCATTAGAGTCACAATCATTAATCTTGATGGGTTGAAAAGGCTTGGTATTTTAATTTTTTTATTCAACATCTTATTGATGATTTTCCAGGTATTTTTAACGTCAGCTTTCTCTTGCTCAAAAGAAGCAGAATAAAACAGTTTCTTGTATGTTTTAATTATAGAGGTTAATTTGTTTTTATGTCTGTTATAGTTTAGTTTATTCACCTGCGAAGGGTTGTTTAGATATATTTTATAAACTTTATATTTCTTACTTGTAGATTTTAATAAGCCTTTAGAAATCCAAGGATTTTTGATTGTTTGGAATTAGATTTGCATTTGGTATAAGGCATGTATTTATCAATCAGATCACCTAGCTTGGATATGAACTGTGAATATCGCACATTTACACCCTCACTTGTGGTTACAGAATACCTGGTTATTTGAGCTAATTTTTTTTTCAGAGCAGCAGTATTACGGGCCGACATATTTCTTTTCCATACATAGCTACTTCTGTGTTTAGCTTGAACAACGCCCTGGCTAGATAGTGTAATTGGAAGGTGATCATTGAAATCTGATAAAACAATAAAAGTAGAGACTGCTGCAGTGTTATTCGTAAAGATATTATCAATCAATGTGGCCAAAATTTTCAGTTATCTAGTAGGTTTATCAACAGTAGGGCGGAAAAGATAGGTATAGAAGAGGTTTAGTGCATCATTAGTAAATTCATATTGAAGTCCCCCATTAAATATTAGATTTTTGATTCTGATTCAATTTTCTCAAGTACTGATTCAAAATCGTCTGTGAAGGTCTTGAGGAAAAGACCGGGGGGTCGGAAGACCTCACCAATAAGAATATTTCTAGTATTACTTTAAATTTCTATAAAAAGGGATTCACATGACTAGGTAGAAATCGACAAATCAGGACATAAAACATATGACAATAAATCTTCAATATACATCATTATGCCTCCACCTGCTTGATTATGTCTGTTTTAAGCTCAATATTGTAATCTGGCATGGACACGAGGGATTCGGGGTCCGACTTCAGCCATGTCTCAGTAAGGCCGATAATTTGGAATTCAAGCCCCATTTCTTCAAGTGAGTGCTGAAGAGAATCATAGTTTTTGTTGAGACTTTTTATATTGGCATGGTATAACAAAGACGAATCCCCTATTGCATGACGTTAAACTCGTACCTGTTCTTCACTAAGGTATTCAGATCCACATGTATTAACCATAAATTCGGGGTATTCAGCATCAGGCGGTACAAGATTAAATACATTGTTGTTTAAACGATTGATATATAACCTGCTGCAGAGTGTGAATCAGTTCACACTGAATTTACTACTTAAATAGCTACTATTGGCACTAGACAGGAGGATTTAAATAACAATAATGCATTGATAGAGCTGAAAGACTCGACTAAAAGCTGTCTCCAGGGACTTGTGAAGGGCATCCGTAGAAACGATCATCAACTCAGTATACCAGCGAATTGACAAAATTTACCATTAAAAACTGAATATGGCCCAGCTTGGCGCCCTTGTGTCTCACAAGTAAAACAGACATGGTGAAGACCATGCCTGGGGTGGACCGATAGGAGCGCACTACGGTTAATAAAATTTTTGTGAAAACCAATATATGAGCAAAATACAGTCCATTTTACAACCAGGACATTTACAAATGTCCCCTTTCCACTAGCAGCATAAGCAGGAAGCAAATTAAATGGATTTGTATTTTATCAGTGGAATAAAGTGTGGCTATATTTATCAACTTTTCAAAATCTCCACTCAATCCTTTATGAACTGCAGATGATTTAGATGTTAACAGCTAGTCCTTGGTTCAAATTGAACTGGCAATATACTCTGTGCTAGCAAAGATATTCCTTTGAGTCTTTGTGTGTTGGACCATGGTGCATGAGTCTAAATTGAAATGTAACATGCATTTCTACAGAATAAGGGTAACATATACATGAATGTGCGTGATTCCTCACATCATGTTTATAAATTATACATGATAGTACATTACATATACTCTCTTAATTATGCTGCAGATGTTTTTATTTCTAAAGCAAGCAAAAATAATATTTGATAGCAACATGAGGTTGTGTTGCTTGCTAACTGCACAGTTCACAAGAACCTTACAAGAAGACATAAATATGCATATTTCCATAGTATTGTGCAACTGTACATGTACATCAAAATTGACACCTAATGACTGCAGCTTTTAGGAAAATTAAGCAAATCGTGCAATCTGTAAGTGTAAAATTATGTTCATGTAAGTACAGGAGGCCTGCAGAAAAAGAAAAAGAACGTAAAGCTTCATACATACATGTACATGTTCATTCTGCAACAAGGTTTTTTAACGTGTAAGGAGCAAGTTGGACTTTAAGTTGGTGCAAACTGTAAACCATGCAGACACGGTTTCAACAAAACAGCCGTCACTTAATGGACTTATTTAGTGTTGATGAATTTGTACACTGTATACACAAGGCATATCTTCATTCTGCTTTGGTAGTATTAACAACTCTCATTACTATACTTGTAACCTGCTCACTGAGTTTGTAAATCAACAGAAACAGTCATCTGTTTATATGAGACTGATCCCGTTGATGTGTTGGTTTTGTCCTACTGGTAGCTTCTGTTTGGATTTGTTTTTGTCGCTAGTCCTACAGAAAGTTTGGTAGTAACACTGAAAGGTTATATGCATATGCTACACCTGTTAGTTCTTCTATGTCTAAATTACTTGGGTCAGCTTACTTCATTTTGTCATTCTCACATTAGAAAATTGCTCACATGAAATTGAATCACAAATCAAAAGTGAAAGTGTGCTGTTCTGTGCAACAGTTTTGTTGACTCAAGTTGAATTTTTGATGAGAGACTTGACTTTGAAAAAATGGCTTGTGACTGTAAATGTACTTGACTAGGAAGAAAAGGAATTTTGACTTTTGTCCAAATTAATACAGGAAAACAAATGTATTGACATGTGTGACGCTGTCATTCAAGGAAACCTGCATGTATGTGCTTTCATTATACCAGTTACATGTACCGATGTTTCATCATGAGAAATGTTCGCATATTTTAATAAAAATTTAAGCATGTGGCTCACACCTCTTTTGCAAAACATCATGAGTCACATCCTTATTAACAGTGCAGAAAAAGTGTACAAGTACCATGCCAATTATGACATCAGATTGACTTGGGACTTGTGATTTGAATCTAGAAGCATTGACAAGTGAGGTAACTCAGGAACAAAATGACTTATGACGTAATTTGACTTGTGAAAAATTTATTTGCGAATTGATCATTGAAAAAAAAGACTTCATTACCACATTGCTGTATATGTACAGATACAGTAGTTGGTGTATGTGCCCAGCCAGTAACACATACATGTATGTATGCAGAATGTTTCCAAGTAGTACAATTAGATTATGCATGATATGGGGCCATGTATACATGATATATGGAGAGGGCACTGCATCTTTACTTTGTATCGTAAACTTAAACCCATTCTGTGATGCATGGCTTGTTTTTATTCCTTTCCTTTTTAGGAGGCACTGAGCTTTAAACAAAAACTGCCCACTATAAGTTTATGTCTAGTCTAGTGATACTTGTTATGAGTTTTAATATTCTCTTCCCAGTCGTGGATTCAGCATCGACATGTACAAAAAGGGGCTCGAAAATATTAGTGTGTCAATTTATAGCAATTATATCTGTCCATTGAGAACAGATGAAACAGCAGGAGGAAAATCTCCCTCAAATCAATAATAAAGTTTCAAAATCAGAAAAAGGAGGTGGAGAGCACTACCAATTCCAGTAAAAAAATGTGTAAATTGCCCCATGTTTGAAAAAAGCAATGCAGTATGCCCCTGATATTGAAATATTCCCTGAGAACATTGTAATGATTTACATTATTAAAATGTTCATGTTGTCAACGTTCCCATTTATAGACATTTTGGGACAGTACCTTACAGTTTAATTTCCAAGGAAAGTATTATTGGCTGTGGTTACTTATTTTGGGGGCATTAAAGAAGTTTCACCACTTTGCTTTTATAACGTTTTCTGTGATATGTATTGATTTATTACATATTGTAGAGCCAGAGTTAGGGGGAGAATTTCCTATTCAAGATGTTAAGAGTGGTCAAGGTGGCCTCCTACAAGTTACCATGGAAGGTGTTGGTCTAAAGTTTTCTCAGTCAAAGGTATGTGGATCTAAAAGTCCAAATCTGTTTGTCATGCTCAGTGCAATTACATACACATAACATAAAGGAAGAACAGAATATAGTACACAGAATCTTTTCCATATTGGTTTAGTTCTAAATTCTGAACTTTCACACTACAATTGTTCTCTTCGTAAACTTTACATAAATGGAAATTTAAGACTATTTAACAACAAATGAGAATTGCAACAAGGGGTTTCATTCAGAAGTTTCATTGGATTTATTGAACAAAATTCAACCTTAAAGGACCCATCCATATTTCACAGGTCTATGCATTACATCTTTGTTCCAAAGATTCTTTTTCATGGAAATGTACCCATGTGATTTTTTTCTCTTTCCTTTTCAAAAATGTTTGATAAATATATCAGTCTTTATGGCAATCTTGAAACATGTTATTTTATACTATTTCAAGTAACACTGAAGTCTGTACCACGCAGGAAGGCATATGTCACATGCTTTTCACTGTCTGCACATGCTACTTATTTGTTAAAATTGAAAAATTTATTCACGTGGGAAAGCTTCAGCTTGGCATATATATCACAGAGACAAGGTCTCATTTTTTAAACTTTGTATTTAAAATTGAATGTGAGAAAGTAGTTTGTGGTTTGGGGAGATCTGGCAGACTCAGAAAGGAAAACAACAGTCATTGATTTCATTTTGCCATTCTGTAAAGTTGTGATGCAGTACGTGGGAATCAGAATACGTATGATTGTTTGCTGCTTTAGCATGTGCACAATAATGTAGGGCTCCAAGCCTACTGGTCCCAGTGTCGTCATGTTTTCTGACAGTGACGCTGATGATCAGCCATTTTTCTCCTATGATGAGAATAATCTTGTCAACGACATCAGCCACACTGTAGCAGTTTTGCCTTAAACCAAGTTTAAATGCCATCAACAGTGCAGTTTTCAGCAGTGATACCACCACTGCTGAAAAGAGTCTAGGGAGGACATGACGAGATAGCAGAACACCAAGGATGTGTTTTTGTTGCGCAGCTGGCAATGAAAAATTACCTGGGAAAAAAGAGCTGAAAGTGTATCCCAAATCTACAGTTAATTAATTTAATTTTAATTTACAAAATAATTTAATTTATCGTCTTTATGGAAACAAGAACAGTTGGGAGTGTTGTGGACTTGGTCAGTTACCACTCTTGGCAGCCCTGGGCATTTGCAAGCATGTGCCAAAGAAAGTATTGCCAAACATACATGTTGTATACTTCAGGCCAAAATACTGTTTTCATGAAAATATGCATCTGCAGTATCTGTGTTTGGAATGCAAAACTGACAAGAGTACGGGGAAAAGAAATGTTGCATAATGATATTTTGAAAGAACGTTTTTAAAATTGTAATTGTCACGAGAATGGCGCTGTCTAGAAATTGCATTACATTTGTGTGTCAGTGTGATGAACGTATGACAAACAACTATAAGATCCCTAGGCACTGTGTCTTTCTTTGAGTTGAATGATGGTTACTTTCCTGCACAGTTGTAACTATGTGGTTTAAAAGTTACATATACATTGGCCTTTTTATTGACTTGTGTCGAAATTTTAGTCACAACTATTGAACTCCTCTGAACTCGGTTCATGTAACCTATGTATGTAACCTATGTAGATGAACATGAACATGTAATGTGTGAGGAATTTGTGACGAAATTTGTTTTGGGGCTATTCCGTGGAGGATCCCAGTGGCCACCAACAATGCAGTTATTGGGATACTGTGACTTAGTCATGTGTGACAGGTTTTATCTACCATAAAATTTCTGGTGCCACTGATGGCGCTGACTGGAGATATAGCTGGGCCAATATGTCTGCGTGGATTAGATACATTGCATGAGGCAGGCCCATATTGCCATGCTAGCTGTATCACATAACAGATGCCTTTGTATTGTACATGGTTACTGCATGGACCACTCTGCGTAGCGTGCTTTCAAATACCCTGCCGGAACTACTCCCAAGTATCATATCATAATTTTGGCCAATTCACATGCAGCCCCCTATGATTTTTAGACAGATGATGACTTTTTTTGATAATCCAGTCTGGGAAATAAAATAAGGTTCTAAACGTCATTTTTAAAATTGGTTGGACGGCAAGAATCATGTTTATTTTGGTTTAGTGTGTTTTCAGTCACACATTAGCCTAATTTGACATAGATATCCTTTATATAAATGAAGTATTGTTGATCGACATCTTTATCAGATCTTTGGTTGTGACATGCTCTTTAGCAAGAGGAAAAACCATAGAAGTGTCCTGCATGGACATACATGTACGTGGCAGTGTATGCATTTAATGACACCTGCTTGTGCATGCATGGAATCTGTTTATAGTATTGGTCTTTCTTTGTATCTATTTGGTTTGTTGTTAATTGACCTTTAAAAACAGTTCGTTAATATAACTCAGATTATAGGCAAAAAGAGAGTCTTTGTAAGGGGCACAGAGCATTAAACTCACATTAAATGCACTATTATCAGAAATCAAAAGAAACTGATACAACCCCAACTTTGTCACCTTTTTTTCTTTGAAACTAGAGAAGAAACAAAAATTAGGGTTTGATTCCAAGAAAGTGAAAAAATTGTGAGTTGGTTGAATTCAAGATGACCAGGGTGAAAATCTAAACCCTAATTACTTTCAGATAGTATCTTAGCGTTTAATAATTTGTTGAAATCGCAGAAGCAGTCACTCTACACTAAAGGTTGATTGTGGTTTGTGCACTATTTTGCTGTTTTGATCATTAGTACATGTACTTCTATGAAAGATTTGTATAATACTCATGAGCAAAACTGTTTATATGAAAGCCGAAACACAGCGATTGTCTGCTGACAAAAGTATCTCTAGTATAATTTAAGTTGGATAAAAGGTTACGTTGGAGGGTGTGCAAGCTTTGCTTTTTTCTTTGCCAGATCTGCTGTGACTGTGCTAAGATGCTCTGACAATTTCTGTAGAGAGAAGCATGTCACATATAAATGGTCTCAAGTTTGTGTTCCCGTTTTCTTTATAAACACCAGAAGGTCTGACTTCATGTAGTACATGGAGGCTGACCATGCATAGTACCCTGATGTGGTTGCACAACACAGCCAACCAACTTGGGGTACAACACATAGTCAGCCTCCATGGACTAGTCAGACCATAACAATTATAGTATAAGCTGTGGCATTACCTCAAGGTTGTCAAAAAAGAAGGCATTGGATCATCCATATTTATGTCATCTTTAATGAGGGTAAGTTCTGATCAGTGACAGCATTGCTTTCCATGGAGGCCCTTCGATTTACAACATGGGTCAAAGGGGCACTGCAGGCAGGGACCAAACAGCCCACATCTGTAGACAGGAGACAGTGAGAAGCAGTTACAGTTGTAGAAGTGGGAGGAAAACCCTAGGAAAACATTCTGGGGAAACCCACAGAATCAGGTAGGGACTGAAAACCCAATCCACATGTCGGCAGAGCCTGGGAATCGAACTCGGGCTGCAGAGGTGGAGGGTGAGGAAAGAAATACTATGCAAACCTGACTAGTAAATCAGACCAACTTACCTTTTGACTTTAGGTTTTCAGATTATGATTAAAACAGCCATGCTTCTACATTGACAAACAACAAATACATGCCAATTTTGGCATGATCTGCAGTTCCATGTGGTCAGGGCAGAGATCAAGGAAGATAGACACTGTAGCTTAACTTGAAGATAGCCTTTTGAGAAAAATACATCATAATATACATACTAACCCCCAGGAGGAAGAGGATTCACCAATGACATTTGAAACGCTACCTTGACCTTTGACTGATTTAAAAGTAAAGTATCATATTTATCAACAAAGTATATTGTGTAGATATAAAATAGCCAAATGTTACAGATCTAAAAAAAAAAACTATTTGATTATTCTGAAGCTTGAATTTTCTCCGATGCAACAAAGAAGTCAAACAAGATCTCACTGATATAAGGAACAATATATATAAAGTATGATTTCACGAGAATGTTACACTGAGCTTGTAAAAAGTAAGGATAACAAAGAAAATGCCTCTTGGAACTGGTGCACGTATGTTCACCCAGCACTGCCTGTGTATCAATTAAGTTGATACGTGGGATTGTACGGGGTGGCGCATGACAGGGATAGCACTAATTCAGTGCTGTTTCCTGCCACTACGGCTTTGAATTTTGATCAAAAGAGGCAGTGGTGATGAGCCCCAGCCAGTGTTTGATACTTGTGCATGCAAGTCCCACATGGAGACACAGCACCGGGTGTTGCCAACAAAGAGTGCAACCGTTGAAAATATTTCTTGGTGAGGTTTTCCTGAAAATATACCCCATATGTATACTTGCACTGGATGTAAGTGATGACACATATGATAAAGCCAAAAGGAGAAGAGTTTTTGTAAATGTGATATTGAGTCGTTTTATGCAACATTGTCATTAGAAGTGAGTATAGATCCTTGACATATATAAACTGATTTCTATCAACACCATTAAAATTAAACTCTACTAAATTCTACATGATTCGAATATCAACTGGACTTTCGGTGATGCAATAAATCGCTGTGATGGTATAAAATCACAGCAAACCAGACTTTTAACTTCACTTTCTAAGCTAGTGACTATCAGGATCACCTTTAGTTCAATGCAGGCTTCATAATTATGTGTTTCACATTGTTATGAAAACCCCGGTTGTAAGGATATGTTGATTGGTCTACAGGAAGAGAGGAGATAAACAAATTTTTACAGCTACTGCATATTTGATTATATAAGATCATTGACTAACAAAATAATCTATCAGACGTCTCGTTTCCGTAAAAGCTCACTGGTGTTCCAGTGTATGATCTTGAACAATAAGCAAAACAACTAGAGGTTTTGTCTGTCTTAACCACTTCAGACCGGGGCATTTTTCAATGTTGATGATGCTGGGCAGGCACGACTATCATTTTTTCCGTTTTCAAAATCCTTCAAAATTTCATCATTTTATTCAATGGTCGTTTATAGCCTCACCAAGTAACCTTTAGGCA